GTATTATATTGTATTATATTATTTTAATATATATTATATAATTTTATATTATATTATGTTATATTAATATATATTATATTATATTAAATTATAGTATAGTAATATTACGATGTGTAATATTATAAAATGCGTAAACGTTTTACTGGGGGCGACAATTTTTTTTTACAATGATTTTATTAAAAGTTGACTTAAGCTTTGGCTCTTTAAGATGTAGTGGTAGTTTTGGACAGTCACCTAAAATATGTCGCAATAGGCTATTCAACAAGCATATGTAATGAACTTCCTAACGCTTTTAATTTAAATGCTACAACCGTTTTAAAAAGGATTTTTAAAAATTTTGTTTTGTTTCTTTTTTCGTCCATTTAAAAAGAAACGGCTTTTTTATGTGATGTAATAAGGCAACAATTAAATTTTAATTTTGATAGTATTAATTTTTTCGCTTTGCTAAATGAATGGGAATGAATCCTTAAAAAAAATTTCAGCCAAAAAAAAAAATTTAGAAAACAATGTTTTTTTTTAATTTATTAAAATTAATATTAAATTTTTAGTTGATTCTTTTCTTATTATGAATTCACATATCCATTTATGTTTATTATCGTTTTGATGACGAAATATGTTTTGACATTGACGATCAGTGATACATTTAAACAATACAATTCTATTTCAAATTCCTTAAGGATGTTTTCGTTTAATCTTAAACGTCATTTATTTCAAAATATATGCTTTATTGCGTATTTTTGTATGAAATATTTCAATTATTCTATATGTTTTTTTAAATCTTATTTAAAAATTTTTATTTGTTTTTTATTACCAGAGAAAGGCCAAATTAGCAAAATAATGAAAAACAAATAAAAACTTAACGTTGGCATGTTATGTTAGTATGTGGGTGGATTTTTTTGGTATTTTTTCTACATGATACATATCTACCGAGCGTATTGTGTATACAATAAGTAGATTATGTGATGACAACAAATTTTGCATATCGAGTTTTCGGTGGGAATGCGCTTCTCCATGGTAGGGAAGTGTAAATATACTACTTTTAGCAACCTGTCGGTGTGTCGGTCTGTGTGTGCTCGCATGTATCTCAAGTTCGGCTAAACCGATTTTGATGAAATTTTATATGTAAGTTTATTTCGACCATAATGAATGCACAATGGGATTGTTTTATATTTTGCCCGTTTTGAAGAAAATATTCAACCGATTAACTTGAAATTTCATATATAAGCTTCTCTCGACAATCCGCGATTCCTCCTAGCTTTGATCCGTAATAAATATACATATGCATAAATGTATATTTATTACGGATCAAATATACATTTTTTGCATATATAAAGAGAAATAATCAACCGATTTCATTGAAATTTATTATATAAATTCTTCGTATTAAAACAATGAAGATATCTACGGAACGGATTGATGGAATTTCTTGAAATTTGATATTTGAATTCTGGTTGTTACCGAAGCTAACTGACGAGTATTTCAGAGAATTCGGGGTAGCACAAAGCAAAACTTTAGTAAGAGCCAAATTTACATTTTTCTAGATATGGTTAACTATAAGCTTACTAATGTCCTAAAAATTAGAAAGAAGTATTTAACAGACATTTTTATAATATTCTGTAACACTTTCACTTAACTAGACAATATACAATGCGGTCGGTTATGTGCTGACCAGATTTTTTTTTTATAATAATAGAATAAAATTGTATTTGACAAATAATTTAAAAGTCTACAAGCTCTCCTCTATTACAGGGGCATAAGTTAAAGCGCAATCATATGTGTACAAAATTTTTGAAATGCTGGTGTGCATGTATATGCTTGTTTGTGTTTTTTGTAGTGGCATCAGGCACATAGTGGCATATATATTATTATCAAATCAAGCTTTCTTAAAATATTTGGAGGAAAACAAACATGCGAAGATTTGTATTGAAAACAAAACGTGTGTAACAATCGTGCATCCATGTTTTTTTAAATTTGTCTACAACTTTACGAACATGTTTGTAATAATTTTATTAAATAAAAACTAATAAGTAATAACATTTTGCCGAATTATAAATATATATGTATATATAAAATGAAGATAGAGAACGTACATGCATATATGAAAACACTTATGTAAATGTTTCAAAGTCCACCTTTTTACGCAACTTCAGAGTTTTTAATATTTTTGTTTAAATATTTAATATTTATTCTAAAATCCTCTCAAAAAGAGAGGGAGTGAAAAAAAAAGAAAAAAAGTGAGAGAGGGATATAGGTGTACGAAAACTTGTATGGAAATTGAATGTACGCGTGAGCGGAAATGTGGGTAACATATTTGTGTGTGTAATGGCATTATATGAACAGTATAATATCATATATACTGTTTAAAAATTAATGCGCGCTTATAAGCAGTTTGTTTTATTTTCTATCTTTTGTATATATCTTATTTTTTTTAAATTGGAAAATCAGCTGATTGTTTTACGCAAGGTATTTAATTACATTTAATGTTATTGTAATTTTATTTCATCCATTATTATTATTTTTTATTATAATAGGAATCAACATATTAATAATTTAATAAACATTAATAATTAAGTTTCTAATATATTATTTGAGATGCATAGATGTTTCTTTTCTCCGGATATGTATCTTATTACCTATATTTAAAGGTACAACAATATTGTCAGCCCCTCCCCCTGTCTTACCAAATTATATGCTTTTTATATGAGAATTATACCCTTTCTTATACTTCTTTCTATATGTATTATACCCTTTCCTAAAATTTTGTTGAGACTAGAGAGAAATGTATACAGTTTTTTAAACTGTTTGCGTCTCAATATAATGTAAAGTTTTTTATTTTTTTCTCGTAAGATTAATTTTTTAATTAGATTTTTACTGTATAATATAATATACTAATTTTAAAAATTTTCCTAAAAATCTAAAATATTGAAAATAATTCAATATTAAATAAAAATAAAAAAATATTAGTTTAGATTTTATTAATAAACTATCAAATATTACACATTGCGCCTAACTTGTATGCAAATACTTTCAATCCTGTTTAAAATAAAAGTATGTGTGTAATCACATGGAATTTTTAAATATCTATTTATGCATTTCATTCGTTCATAGTACTTGCATGAAACGTTTAGTAGCAAAAACAAAATTAAACTTCCATATATTATTTTTTTTATTTTTAAATTTGACATTTTAAAAACCGCATTCAAAAATATTTTATAACATAATACTGCCAGAAGCTACTTATGCATTTGAAAAACTATGTGAGCCTATATACATATGTGTGTATATATGTATGTATGTTTATAATATATATCAAATTTATAAGGGAACATATGTATAAGTGAATATAATAATAATATGCACTTAAAATTTTAATTAAAAGTTAGATTAATCTTTAAAATATTTTTCATTTTTTATAAGAATATGTATGTAAATATGTATGTACTTGTACAATTTTTACATGCATGTACATATAAACACATATTTTATATTTTACCAAAATATAAACTTTAATATCTGTTCCATAACAATAATAATAATAATAATAATAATAATAATAATAATAATAATAATAATAATAATAATAATAATAATAATAATAATAATAATAATAATAATAATAATAATAATACTAATAATAATACTAATGTAAAAAATAATAATAAAAAAAATTGTGCATTTATATTTTATGCGCATAACGCGCATGAATTATATTTACATACACGTACATATATATGTATCGATGAATGTAGTAAAAAATATTCTTTTGGTGATAAAAAAAATTGTATAAGTTTCATTGTTTTCTTGAGTTTATAAGAAACATTTAAAATTATTCGTTACATATTTTATTTATACATACATAATACACATATCCATATAGTTACACATATATTATTTACATAATTGTTATACAGATATTTGTGTAAATATATTTATGGTTTCAACTTTTTTGGAGATTAAAAATAAAATTACCTTTTGTTATGATTACATAATTATTACATTTTTTTTGTGTTTGTTGTTTGGAAAAGCGTTTAGAGTGTATGTTTAGAGTAATGTTACTATCCAAGTTTCTCCTTATATTTAATATTGTTTGACACAAAAATCTAAATTTAAATAATTGAAATTATAGTATAGTTGTATATTATACATATGCATGAATATAATAAATAAGTATGTTAATGTGCAAATTTGTAATCAAACTATCTTATTGTTTTTTTGTGCTTACTTATATATTATAAGATGTTGGTGAAACTTTTTTTTAACTTTTTGTTATATTGGTTTATAAAATATTTTGTTTTGATAAGAACTGGTTCGGAGAGGGAAGAAATGAAAAAGATGTTGTTTTTTTGATTTAAAATTTATTTGGAATATCCTTTATTTTTAATTCGAGTCATTAATCTAATATACATATATATGTATGTGTATATATGAAAAAAAAGATTGAACCATTAAAAAACGGCATAATTTTAAAAAGTATACAAGCGGTATGTCGATGTTATAAAAATAACATAGGTATAAATGAATGTGTACCTATGTATATTATTTATAAATAATGTAGGTATATAATTTGTATGTATTTGTTGAAATATTGTATATAATATATCAATGAAAGTTTAATCTTTTTGCATAAAATAGATGTATGTGTATATTTCGAAATTAATTCTCCCTATATATTTATGTATTTATTATATAAACTTAATGTAATTTTATGTATTTTTATATAAACATTTTTAATATACATATATACTTGAATATATGTATATATATAAAAATATTTATATAACAGATATATATAATTATATATAATATTAATATATACATTTTCATAAACATTTTACTAACTCTCAAAATCAGCAATTTTTTTGTTAGAAAAATATATAATAAAGTTATATATGTGTATATGTATATATATGTCTATATATATATATATATATATATATATATATAGTATTGTTGATTTTTTCTATATAGCCTTGGATAAAAAATGTCTTTTTATTTAGCATTCTTTTTCAAGCGTTTCTTGAGTAAGCATCGATTTTTACCGTCCCTTGTATAACACACAACATTTTAAAAATAAAGAGAAAGTAAAAAAAGGAAAAAAAAAGAATTAATAAATAAAAAATATAAAATTTAGTAATTAAAAGTGAAAATTATATTTAAAACGAAAAACACAACTCAAATCGTACGTATATACGGAAAAGGCAAAAAAATAAAATCCTTTTCGTAAATATCCTCTGAATATTTAACCAATTTAAACTGGATTAAAGTAGTTAGTTTAAAAAGTTCAATTTACATTAAATTTGGGGCTTTTTCACATTTTTGTTTAATAATAAAAAAACAAGTAAACGTATTTGTATTAAATTCGTTTACTTGTTATATTAATATTAATAATTATATATGAGTATGTATTAATATCAATAGCATATATTTACATATATAAATATATATATAAAATATAATAATACTTATGTACACGTATATATCGCATATTATTTTTAATAATTCATAATTCTTAACTTTTAAAATTTATTTATAAAAAAACAAAGTCGAAAATATCTTTTAATTAAACACGAAGAATAGCATAAAAAATACCTACAAATAAAAAAATGGAAATGTAGGTATAATAAAATTTATTTGTCAAACGCGTATATTTTTTACTTCTGTGTGTTATGTATTACATATTTTCCTTTCTATATAAACAGTCAACGTACATATATACATATGTATACATTTCACTAAATATTCTTTCTTTTTTAATATTTTATAAATATCACATAGAGGATACATTTTTACTTACATACGTAGGAATAAAAAAGATATTTATAACAAAAAGGATACAGAATTTTTTCCAAAAAATTAAAAGAAAAAGAAAATTTTCTAACGAAATTTCCTGTAGTGAAAAGAACGATAAGATTTTATCATAATTATAAAAATTGTTTGAAACGTGTTTATAAATAATTTTTGCAAATTAAAATTTTCATTATAAAAGGAATTTTTCATTATCTGTAATTAATTCAATATATATATACATATTTAGTTATGTAGGTACATGCAGTTCGGCGCGTTGCAAATATTGCGTCCGAAAGTCTTGGATTTTAAAAAAAATGTGAAAAACCAAATGAGAATTTTCAAAACAGAAATGCAGAAATAAAGCTGCTGAAGAAAAATTAATTTTTCTTCTTTCTTTTAAAAAATTGAATTCAATTTTTTATACATACATAAATTGTATATTATTTTTATTATGTATATACATAATAAAATATACAAAAAAAAAATATTTTAAAAAATTTGATAATATCTATAGTTAAATAGTGAAAATATTGTATAATCATTATAAAAAAGTTAATAATCATTTTTAGTGAAGTAAAGTTAAAAATAATAGTAGTACCTGTATTTTATTATTCAATGTATGTACATACATATATACATACTTGTATATGTACATAAAGGTGCAGATATTGAATTTTAAAATATATACAGAATCTATTTGAACTATTTAGGGCACAAAAATAAAGGAAAATTTAATCAAATAAAAAAAATAAATAAAAAAAACAGAAACCAAAAAAAAAAAAGAAAGAGAACTCAAATTATACGAAAAATTGATGATAAAATTGTTTTTGTGTTTTTAATATTTAATATCCTTTTGAATAATTTAAAAAGAAAATTTGCCTAAAAATTGCCATTGTTATAAAATATACATATGAATAATAATATAATATATAAATAAACCACCAATAAAAAAAACCCATACATATGCGTAAAAAATTTATCATTTTATATGTTTATTTTCTATTTACGTATTTATGTAATACAAAAACATGTACATGCATATTATATATTTAAAAATCTAAATATAATTTAAGGTTTTTATAAAGAAAAAATAAAAACTTTTACAAAATTTAAGATAAAATAAATAGGCACTTAATATTTTAAAAATATTTACAAGTCAATAAAATAAATAACTGAAAGTGATTATTTTGATAATTATCGTCTAGCTGTTGAAAATTTTTATCCAAATACAATTTTGATAAAAAAATCAACGAGACATCAGAGGATTAAAGAGAAAACCATCTCAAATAACCAAAAAGAATATTAATTTCAATACAATCACAATTCCAACAGATAATCGTAAGTTTTGTTTTAGAAAAAAGAAAATTTTATACATTTAAATATATACATATACATATCAAAGTGCACATCAATAAATCGTATTTATATACGTGCATATGAAAATATCATACTAAAACTTGTATTTATGTTTGGCTTAAAATACCTTTAGTCAAATTATAATTATAAGAATATTAATATTATTAATAATAATAATAAAAATAATGATAATAACAATAATTTATTAAATTAAAAGTAATAATTAATAAATAATAAATAACACATTATAAATAATAAATAATAAATAATAAATAATAAATAATAAATAATAAATAATAAATAATAAATAATAAATAATAAATAATAAATAATAAATAATAAATAATAAATAATAAATAATAAATAATAAATAATAATTAATAAATAATAATTAATAAATAATAAATAATAAATAATAAATAATAAATAATAAATAATAAATAATAAATAATAAATTATAAATAATAAATAATAAATAATAAAAAATAAATAATAAATAATAAATAATAAATAATAAATAATAAATAATAAATAATAAATAATAAATAATAAATAATAAATAATAAATAATAAATAATAAATAATAAATAATAAATAATAAATAATAAATAATAAATAATAAATAATAAATAATAAATAATAAATAATAATTAATAAATAATAATTAATAAATAATAAATAATAAATAATAAATAATAAATAATAAATTATAAATAATAAATAATAAATAATAAAAAATAAATAATAAATAATAAATAATAAATAATAAATAATAAATATTAAATAATTAATAATAAATTATAAATAATAAATAATAAAAAAAAATTATAAATAATAAATAATAAAAAATAAATTATAAATAATAAATAATAAATTATAAATAATAAATAATAAATAATAATTAATAAATAATAAATAATAAATATTAAATAATAAATAATAAATTATAAATAATATATAATAAATAATAAAAAACAAAAAACAATAAATAATAAATATTAAATAATAAATAATAAATAATAAATAATAAATAATAAATAATAAATAATAAATAATAAATAATAAATAATAAATAATAAATAATAAATAATAAATAATAAATAATAAATAATAAATAATAAATAATAAATAATAAATAATAAATAATAAACAATAAATAATAAATAATAAATAATAAATAATAAATAATAAATAATAAATAATAAATAATAAATAATAAATAATAAATAATAAATAATAAATAATAATTAATAAATAATAAATAATAATTAATAAATAATAAATAATAAATAATAAATATTAAATATTAAATAATTAATAATAAATTATAAATAATAAATAATAAATAATAAAAAAAAATTATAAATAATAAATAATAAAAAATAAATTATAAATAATAAATAATAAATTATAAATAATAAATAATAAATAATAATTAATAAATAATAAATAATAAATATTGAATAATAAATAATAAATTATAAATAATAAAAAACAAAAAATAATAAATAATGAATAATAAATAATAAATAATAAAAAATAAATAATGAATATCAAAAAATAAAAAATATATAATAAAAAATAAATAATAAATACTTAATAAAGAATAAATAATGAATAATAAATAACAAATAATAAATAATAAAGAATAAATAATGAATAATAAATAATAAATACTAAATATTAAATAATAAATAATAAAAAATAAATAAAAAATAACAAAAAATAAATAAAAAATAATAAAAAATAAATAATAAATAGTAAATAATAAGAAATAAATAAAAAATAACAAAAAATAAATAAAAAATAATAAAAAATAAATAATAAATAGTAAATAATAAATAACAAATAATAAATAATAAAGAATAAATAATAAATAATAAATAATAAATAATAAATATTAAATAATAAATAATATATAATAAATTATAAATAATATATAATAAATAATAAAAAACAAAAAATAATAAATAGTAAATAATAAATAATAAATAATAAGTAATAACTAATAAACAATAAATAATAAATAATAAAAAATAAATAACAAATGATAAATGATAAATAATAAACAATAAAAAATAAATAATAAAAAATAAATAATAAGTAATAACTAATAAACAATAAATAATAAATAATAAAAAATAAATAACAAATGATAAATGATAAATAATAAACAATAAAAAATAAATAATAAAAAATAAATAATAAATAATAAATAACAGAAAATAAATAATAAATAATAAACAATAAATATTAAATATTAAATAATAAATATTAAATAATAAATAATAAATAATAAATAATAAATAATAAATAATAAATAATAAATAATAAATAATAAATAATAAATAATAAATAATAAATAATAAATAATAAATAATAAATAATAAATAATAAATAATAAATAATAAATAATAAATAATAAATAATAAATAATAAATAATAAATAATAAATAATAAATAATAAATAATAAATAATAAATAATAAATAATAAATGATAAATAATAAACAATAAATAATAAATAATAAAAAATAAATAGTAAATAATAAATAATAAAAAATAAATAATAAATAATATAATATAAATAACAAATAATAAAGAATAAATAATAAATAATAAATAATAAATAATAAAAAATAAATAATAAAGAATAAATAATGAATAATAAATAACAAATATTAAATAATAAATAATAAATAACAAATAATATATAATAAATAATAAATAATAAATATTAAATAATAAAAAATAAATAATAAATAATAAATTATAAATAATAAATAATAAATAATAAATAATAAATAATAATTAATAAATAATAAATAATAAATATCGAAAAAATAATAAAGTCGAAAATATCTTTTAATTAAACACGAAGAATAGCATAAAAAATACCTACAAATAAAAAAATGGAAATGTAGGTATAATAAAATTTATTTGTCAAACGCGTATATTTTTTACTTCTGTATGTTATGTATTATATATTTTCCTTTCAACGTACATATATAACATATGTATACATTTCACTAAATATTCTTTCTTTTTTAATATTTTATAAATAATAAATATTAAATAATAAATAATAAAAAATAAATAATAAATAATAAATTATAAATAATAAATTATAAATAATATATAATAAATAATAAAAAACAAAAAACAATAAATAATAAATATTAAATAATAAATAATAAATAATAAGTAATAACTAATAAACAATAAATAATAAATAATAAATAATAAATAATACATAATAAATAATAAATAATAAATAATAAATAATAAATAATAAATAATAAATAATAAATAATAAATAATAAATAATAAATAATAAATAATAAATAATAAATAATAAATAATAAAAAATAAATAATAAATAACAAAAAATTAATAATAAATAATAATTAATAAATAATAAATAATAAATTATAAATAATATATAATAAATAATAAAAAACAAAAAACAATAAATAATAAATATTAAATAATAAATAATAAATGATAAATAATAAGTAATAACTAATAAACAATAAATAATAAATAATAAATAATAAATAATAAATAATAAATAATAAATAATAAATAATAAAAAATAAATAATAAATAACAAAAAATTAATAATAAATAATAAAAAATAAATAATAAATTACAAATAATAAAAAATAAATAATAAATGATAAATAATAAACAATAAAAATTAAATAACAAAAAATAAATAATATATAATAAAAAAAAAAAATAAATGATAAATAATAAACAAAAAATAATAAAATATAAATAATAAATAATAATAAAGTTGGGTCAAACCAATGGTTTGTATTGTAGCACTTTTCCATTCAACAAGTGAGAATTCTGCTTTTAAATGTATATGTGAGTGAGAATTCTGCTTTTAAATGTCTATGTATACCTCTCACACTATTAAAATTATTATCATTCATATACAAAACTATTTCTAGGAATTGCATATATTTAGGATGATGATATATAGTCTTTGAAATAAAGCAAAAATTAATATAAGGTGGGGTTAACATAATGCTCGATTTTAAAGTTTAATTGTGCGAGTTAAGAAAAATAATTATATTTTTTAATGTCATGGAATTTACCGTTAGCTTTTTGTGTTTATAGAAATATGAGAAAACTTGCGGTTTCGGAAATATAAGGTGTCAAAAATTCAAATTTTACAAATTTCAAGAGGCGATAAGTTGAGAGGGGGTTGAGATGGAAAAAAATTTTCTTCTAACGAAATGAACTATTTGTTAGTGTCTAAAAGTCCCTAAAATTTCAAGCTTCTAGATACTGGGGTCTAGAAGAAAAATGAAATCAAAAATTTGAAAAAAAAGACTTTAGATAACGGTAAATTTGAACGGCCATTTTGTTTTTCTACAGTTTAACTATAGTATACTGCGCTAGGGGAAGCAAGCCGCTGCCTTTCTGCGTTTGCAAAATTTCAAAAATGCTTATGGTTTCATTGCAACAAATAGTTAAAAAAGCCCATTTTTAGGGTTTTGCGTGAGAATAATTTTTAGGGGGGGGGGGGAAATAAGTAAAAATTTTGTTCTACGGAAATAAGTTTTTAGTAAAGATCTATGTACGTATTAAATTTCAGCTTTCTATCTTCAAGGGTGTAGAAGTTTTGTAAACAGACACACGGACAGATGGACGGACGGACGGACGGACAAACGGACGGACGGACAGAGTGAAACTAATAAGCACTTTTTTTCAAATTTTTTTTGGAAAAGTGCTAAAAAATAAAAAATAAATAATAAATTATAAATAATAAATAATAAAAAAAAATTATAAATAATAAAAAAAAATTTATAAATAATAAATAATAAACAATAAATAATAAAAATGAAATAATAAATAACGAAAAATAAATAACAAATGATAAATGATAAATAATAAACAATAAATAATAAAAAATAAATAATAAATAACAAAAAATAAATAATAACTAATAAAAAATAAATAATAAATGAT